AATGTATGAAATGTGTAATTTGTGACCAACTTACATATCTATCTGTTACTGTATCCCATATCTCGCCTAACAATGAGGTGAAAAAATCGATCCACCTGAGTGAGTATCCGAAGTTGAACTCTGCTCATTTTGATTTATGTTCTGCCTTATCACTCCCCCCTCTCTCATACACAAGTAATTAAGCACATAAGGTGAAACCGAGTTCAACATGAGGAGATAGATGGACAAGTGATAAGCACGTAGTTCAGGTCAAGAAAGGTTCCCTAAAATGAATAACGAGAGAGAGAGAGAGAGAGATGTCCGTCAGATCGAACCACGCCCACCGAATGGGAATTGTCGATACGCACGCGCGTAATGATGCAACTTAAGAGACACTGGGAAACAGGTTAGTGCGAAAGGAATATAATCGATATATCTCTATTATGGTCAATTCCCATTAGTTCCAATGGTTAATTCAATTTGGATAGAATTGATGGGCATCGGATCACTCGTTCTGATGGCAAAACTGGCCTGTTTTAGGGCTATAGACAGCCCATGGGAATGGGCCCCATGAAAACCAATAACCAGTTGGCAATTCATCCTTTGTCAGGAGTTGCACCAAAGGATCTATGAAAGCCATTGATTACCACCTTGTAAAAATCCAAGTACGAACAGTTTTGTCCGGATTATGTACATAACAGTGGCTTGCTGCTTTGATTTAGCGCTCCAACCAATGACCACTGTTAGTTCCGTTTTGATAAACCTTTCCGTTTCAGTCCACCCAACTCAGCGTTCAGAGAGCCAGAACAGTCGGGCATCCCGGTTAAAGACTTGATGGCAAGGTGATTTTTCCGCACTGGGAATCGTCTCTTGCTTGATGTTATAAGAATGAAGACCAAAACCACGTCGTTCAAGGAACAGTTCAATAGTACAGTATTTGTTACCGGATGTTAGCCCTTGAGAATTAAAACGATGAGAAACAGTGCAAAGTTGCAGACAGACCCATTTTTCATCGTAAGTTGACTGACAGAAATCAAAGGAACACATTTATTTTCTACATGTATTGCATGCCCAAACGTCGAACACAAGCCTTCTCTTCATGTCCACCGTCCGAATAGAGGGAGCGACGAAACGGTATTCGCATGCCCTGTTCGAGTTCAAGTAGGGACATAGAACAACTGTAGTTCAGTTCGTACAACCATTAACCATGCACTTTCGTGCGCCGGTTTTGGTTGCTGTCTTTTCGCTGCCCATTTGGATGTGCATTAGGAGAAAGACATGAAGGTTGAAAGTAGGATCCAAGAGAAAATGGGGAATTTCAGTGGACTAATGCTGCAGAGACATTGACAAGATGCACGAACGCCACTGTTTACAACACTCAGTGTTTCTAACCATCGGTTACGATCATCCCGAGGTCCCCATCCAGGGAGCCTAGCGGGACCTAGGTGATCCAGACTCCTGGTGAGGGTTTTCATACCCTCATACGAGGTTTTAGCTTGATCGCCCTTGGCTTTATTCCACCCACTACCTGCCTCGGCGAAAATCGCTCGCCGTGGCAACCTATCTAGTGACATGCGTAAAACACATCGAACATACGTAATCTATGGAGGTCGATCACTTGTAACAGTGGGCGACCATAAGTCCTAATAAGAAAAGAAACAGCCACTCAGTGCTCTTTGCTGGTTATCACTTCAAGTTCCCTCGCAAATAAATTGAAGATAGTAATATCCAAAAATCTCCCAGCGAATAGACAGCTGAATCTCCTCAAATGACTCACTCTTTCATGTGTTTTGTGGTATGGGGGGGGGGGGGGGGGGAGAGGGCGGACAGCATCCTGCACCAATCCGTCGAACTAATTTACATTTCGACTTAGCAAGAGACGACACGTGGTAAAATCAGAACAAGCATGTCGAATCCTGTCCAAAGACGAAAGACGAACCACGTGATCATGTACTTATACAACAATAATATCAACAACAACAGCAAACAAGATATTCAATCAAAAAGCGAGACAGGTCGGGTCGCAATGCGAAATTTCACATGTTCTACCGCTATACTTCAAGGGAAAATGGTTCTCAAAGTAGATCTCAACCTCACGGAGTAAGTAAAATTTTGGGTTCTGGTTGTGTATTAATCCAGGAGAGTGAGTGTTTCTTTCTGTTGAATTAAGTTTAAAAAACAGATTAATGGAACGGCTGTTGAAACCCCGGAAATGGGTGCATTTTTATGGTACTGATCAATAGTGAGTGGTTATTCGACCTATAGTAATCCGATTATCCGAGAATGATGATATTCCAGCGAAGCTCAAGATCGAGACAACGGTTTGCAAGGAAGAGAAGGGCGGGAGGGGGGAGGTTGTGGACAGCCTCAAGTTTCAAATTGCTGTGCGGATTTCAAGATATTCATATTCGGCCAGATGGAACAGGCATAAAACACGTGTATGATACAAGCCCTTTTTGGGATAAAACAAAAGTTACTTCACTCCCGCCAGAGTCTGATTTCCACAGATGTCGTAGGATAGGTATGTACGGGAAATGGCAAGTTAAAAACCAATACAACGATGACTCACTGCCTTTGATATGTTTGAAAAGCCTCTTTCTCCTTCATTTCTTGTATCGGATCATTCCCGTGAGCTCGTTCTTTGTCGTACAACATGTAGGTCTCACCACGATCGCGTGTGTATAACCAGACACTCAAGGCAATGACTGCAACCACAATGATCACACCGATGACCACGGCGGCGATCCAGGCAAGGCTGGCACTGGCTGCAAAAATAGGGCGCAAAGGGAGAAGAGACCAAATTCTCAACCAAAAACCTTTTTCACGTAGGTTTGATTGAGGCCAAGGCAGCTGAAGTGCGGCAACCATCTTATTCTGTTTGCACAGTGGTGGGTTCACGATTTTGATTGCTACAGCTTCCGCTGTATTGGATTTAGTTAGACCATGAAATTGGATTAAAGTAAATCCTGAAGCTGATTTTCCAAACGCAAAAATTACGCGCAGAGGGTGGGAAAGTGTGTCCTGATCAATCTCTTGGGCTGTGACAATAGCCAGGATGTATGCAACTTTCTGTGGGATTTTTCGCGGTTTGTATTGGAACTGTGAGCAAGAACATTGATACACGTCGTGTTTGTCCACTAGTTTGACAGTATGCTGTTTTCAAGCAGTGATTACCAAAAAAAGCTACTCGATGGACCCTGAAAAAAAAATCAGTTGGCTGATTGTTGCAAGAACGGCAAAATGGATATATCTAGGCTTGATTCGAATAGTTCTAAACGAATATGGAAGATGAGGAGGAACAGAACAAAAAACTCTCAGATAATTCTTCAAGATTCTGCTTTTCAGAAAAGGAACTGATTGATTATTTTACTTGGTCTTTACAAGTTCCGTCTTTTGCTGCCCACAAGCCAATCATGGAACATTTTCTTTCTCATAAAGATTATTGTACCATGATTTTCTTGGCACAGTCTGTCCTCAGACAAGTGTGGAATATAATAATAATAATTCGCTGCCTTCAGCAGGATGTTTTGTAAGGCCGCAAAAGAGACAGGTACATGACAAAAGTTAGACGTGTAACTGCAAGCCTCTCTTGGGGCATTAGCAAAAGCATGTTGAACTCAACGAAATCCGGTAGCGTTACTTCTTCCAGTCTAGTGTGAATCCCGAGAAACCGATACCAATAGGCAAAATTAGGGAGAAAAAGCTGCTCAAATCAAAGACTGAAAACTCCTCAAGAATACAAATTCGTCTATGCTCACATAGTATCGCTCCAAATCTTTGTAAGTACACTGTCTGTAGCCCAGGTCAACCACTGACAAAATAATGAAACCGCTCAGATGCATATCTTTCCAGTACTGATTGCTGAAAGCCTATCTATGCCTCTCAAAATTAGTCACAATCTATAAAGAAGGACCTTTGCCATCAACACAAAATTCACAGCCTAATCGCACACACATCGACTTGTCCAAATGTAGCGGCAAGAACTCTAGTGCTATCGGTTTCATGTACATCAGTCGATGTCTCCAATTAACTAGTAACAGCCTTTTGGACCCCAGCCGGAAAATGAGACACTCTACCCAATCGCTTCCTGCATTACGTCCTACCTCGACTCGATGTCATCTGGTGATCGATACATGATTACCTCAAACCTGGAGTGGGAACTACGAACAAGACGCGGTGCGGTTGAGGACAGCGAGTCATGCGCAACATGTGTTTCAACCAGTGAGATCTAATCATACGAATACATTGTGACAATTTTTCACCGAACCACTCCCACTTAGGCAACGACTTATGTCGGTATTAATAAGCCGCTTGTTTTATCTGACATGTACCGATTGTCCAGAATATCTGATTTTCATATTTTTTGTTCTTTCTCCCCATTCAATAGTTGTGCAACATTTCACATGATCAAAACGATCACAAACGGATCTTCATATCCAGTGACCCGTTAATTCATTGCATTTTCGCTCATTTCTTAGACCATTTTTCCAACACCTTAAATGACCGGTCTCTTGTTTTTCGGGAGTTTGCGAAAAATACGAAATACTTCAGATGACTCGCCGCAGTTTATCCATCACTCCCTACTCACTAAGATCTAATCGTTTTGCATCGACCGTTCAGTTTAGTTTGTACAACCCTGGGCAGCTATGGTCAAGCGGTTAGTCATCAAATTACCGCCCCGGATGGCACTTGTTCGAATCCGTGCACCACCACCACCTAATTTTCACCATGTATGGCAGCCCGACGGTTTACCCCGTTCTCGTTCCTGAACATTATTTGTATCATATATATATATATATATACTGAATATAGAAAAATAAAATGAAATGAAAGAATACCGCGCACTTTCGTGCTTTGGTTTTGGTTGTCTGTCCGTCCCGTTCAGCCAAAAAGGATAAAGGAAACACAAGAATGGGTGTATGAGCAAAATTGAAGCAATCAATTTGAGGTCAGTTAGATTCAGCCATAGAGCCATAAATGAGAATCCGAATCCGAATCCGGCCCACACGACCAAGTCCACAGATCTAGTTTTTCTCATACCGTCGAATCATTCTTCTAGAAACTCATCATAGCATCCGTATAACTGAATGAAACGCTCCCCCAATCATGCGAACCTCGTGCGGAATCTACCCATCCATGTGCAACTTCCCCTTCAGTTTCACTCTTCAACTGTGTCAGATGTTTATAGTACTTAACTTGGGTATGTACTTCGACAGAAACTATTTTCAACCACGCCGAAGCCACCACAAAATCACTCGTTAAGATATCATGAACTGAACCGTAAAAGAACAGGAACGCATGCTGAGAGAGGGAGAGAGATCAGGCAGAACCGCTTACCGGGTTTCGGATCTGGTGTAAATGTTCGTGTGACTGTTAACTGATCTACCAATGCTTTGTTCGTTTCCCAACGTGAGTCATAGATCAGACGAGGTGGGTTGTCGAAAACATCACTGGTGCCTTGATATTGGCGAGAAACTCGACGCAGAACTCTGTCTGACGGAGGCGGATCGAATCGGGCCTCGGACGAATGTACGAACAACCGGATCCAGCACTGAAGCATCAGGTCCTTGGCCCGGGATTCACCGAGGGTCTCTGTGAGGTACTGTTTCAGTGTGAGTGATTGCGAATTCGGGTCTGAGGACACTTCCGTTCCGTGTTTCTCCTCTTGATCTTTCGGTTCAGCGCCTTCTACGGGAGGATTGGTTTTGGCAGATTGCTGTTCCGAGGCTGAGTTGCCACGTGGCCATATCGTCAGTGTGGCCTGAAAAATAAACAAATTGCGAAATTTGAAATGAAACGTTTTATTCGCGGGATGATGTGTAGATGATGGTTGGAATCATCAGAAAAGAACAGAGGAGGTGATTGGCATGCTGTTAAATATAAAACCGCAGAACAGAAAACTATGTAAAAGTATTGGCAATTGAGGGAAGATTGCTGAAAAATGTTCCGTGACAGGTCTATGAAAGAGCTTCCCAGCAGTACCTTCACTGTAAGCAGGGTGATGACCAAAATACTAACAGACCTGAGGAAATGTGTGTTGGTGCAACATTTAAATTCACCAAAAACTCTGAATTGAACATAACGAGATTATCCAAAGCAACACGAACTATTCTTTCAAACAGTATTTACCGAATATGGAAAGCAGCTCCTGTCGGAAGCAAATTTATTGCGTAAACAACATTTTGCACCACAGAAGACATTCATCGTTGAGTGCATAATAAAAAGTTTAAAGTAGAGCATGATATGTTCTTTTTCATAAAGCGAATGTTTTTGTCACTGCACCGAAACCAGTTTCTTTGCATTGATGTAACGCAAATTGTAAAAGATTTGGTGGTAACAGACTCCTACTTGATTGAGTTTTTTTTATATATAACGTATTTGTGAAAATAACAACTCGTTGAGACTCTGAGCTCACAGGGAGGTCGTAAAAATGTTCAGAACAACGCACAATATCTACTGGCTTAGGGTGGTGGTGCGGGGGGGGGGGGCTTCAAGTGGGAAATGTCATTAAAACAGCGACCTAGATGACGTGTGTTCGGATCCCACCACCACTGCCCATCTTCCCCGTTTCCGTACCTCCCCAGGCAGCCTTTCCAAACATTGGAATATCATCGTAAACCAAGTCAGGTAAGATTTGAGAAATTTCGACAAAACACTCGTCTAGAACAGTAACGTGTAATCTCGTAACCAAACAATGAATGAGCCACAGATGCAGAAAACTAACAATACATCAGACGCGAGCCAGAGCACGATCCTTCGTTTTCATGAGAGCATCGGTCGTATTATTTTATGAAAAAAACGAGACCGTAGAAACGGAACATTATCAAAATCATCACTGGTGATGTTTGCTAAAAGTACGACGGTGTATCATTGAGGCCAATCTTGCCCGCATTGTAAAAGTCAAGTTAGGTGACGGATCGAAACCTGTGCGGCTTATTAGTCTGCTTATTATTACCTGTGAAACAGATTGTGAACTTGCATTCTAATGAAAGTAAAAATTCGCCAAAACGTGTGTAATTTACAGAGGATATAAGTTCCCCAGCTCATGGCACAGAATTCTATTCTATTCAAGATATCATATGAAGAATATATTTATGTTTACCACAACCAAGGACAACAAATGAGAACACAGATCGTAGGCGAACATTTGTTTTCGGTGAGTTCCTTCTTAAGCCAATACAATCACATTTGTGTGGGGAAATAGCGAGAGGGGTTTTGTGTTGGGGTCAAGCAATCGAGGTCGAATAATTGTAGCAAAGGGGTGAGGTGTCCATAGATTGCGAGTTACCCAGACCGAAAAAGGTGTTAGCTTTGCGGGGGGGAGGGGCACCCGAGGTATATGCTTGGAGAGCCAAAATCACAAGGCATATCGGATGTAGCTGAGTCCGTTAAGCGGTTCTCTATATTATACGCTCTTTAGCCGCGGAAGAACAATCGGAATACCCATTACAAAGTGCTAGAAAACCTATTCAGTTGTATTGACCTGGTTTAGCCGTATCAGCAGTGAAAATCCATCAAACCCGGGACCTGTGAGGTAGACTGCAGGAAAACGAAACACCCACCTCGCCATCGGGCAACTGATTAGACCGTTTTTTATTTTGCGTAAACACAGTACAGTGCAACAAAAGCTTGGAAATAAATTGAGCGGTAAAAATAAGGGACAGACTTCATAGTGCGATGTATCTCGTTTCGTGAATCAATTTACCGCAATAGATGAAAAATATAAGTGAGTTCACCAAAGAGGCATTTTCATTACTTACACCGTCCGTTGTGGTCTCAATGAAGCGACCAATGCCCTGGGGGTCTAGCTGCGCGGATGACCACTGGCCTTGGATAATCCATGCAGTGGAATAGGTTATGTTGAATTGATCGTTCCACAATTTGATTCGCTCTGGATCGACAGAGCACGTCACATTATACGGTTCTGTGTCACATCCCTCCGTACAACTGGAACCCGATGGTGGCTTGAACAGCTTTGGCGTAGCTATAAACAGATAAAAACGGCAAGTATCTTAATGACATTCGGTAATGGTAAACATCTGTTCAGATAATTCTTCAACCAAACACCTCGTCCTCAAAAAGCTGTTGCTGGATTTTTAGCATAACACACAACTGTACGATGAACGGCAGGTATTCAACGGACCTACTGTTTACTCATGGAAACTGGTACCATAAGCCCGGGACTTGGAGTGACAAACCATCGGGGGCCCTTCATGGAAAAATGATTACCGTCGAAGCTGAAAGTCGGCAGCAGAACTCGAAGCTTCGGATCTTAAGTCCTAATGCATGCCAGTGACGGTGCCGTAAATCGATGGACAACCACCAACCAATCCATATCAGTACATTTAACTGTTGATTTTTAGTGGCATTAGAAACAGGAAAATAGACCTTTCATGGGAAATCGCTATGAGAAAAAGCTCGCCAAACTGAAATGCTTCTTGGTGGGGTGTAGTACTAGCATTGAAATGATATCCTTATGTTTCAGTTTGCAGGTTTTACAACCATTAACCACGCACATATGTGCCTTTGGTTGCTGTCTTTTGGCTGCCCATTCGAATGAAGCAGTCAAATGGGAAAAAGGTTTTTTCAAATGCGTGCGTAAGACTTTAGGACACAACATACTTTGCCGGAGCCCACAGCGACGAAGGGGATTTTACTTGGGAACCCTATCTGGAGCCTTCAACTTGAAAGTCTGACGCACAGGGCACGTATTATTGCGACTGATTTTGCATCAATATTTTAAACAGTGCCATTGATTCATCACTTCACAAAAAATTTGTTATAGGCCTTGAAATAAATAAATGCTCAGCCTTCTCCGGTATCGCTAGCATGGTACTAGGAAAAACCCTCATGCTCTGTACGTGTCGTTTTACGAATAAATCTCAGGCTACATTTTTCTGTCCATTAAGCCAACAGTTTAATGATGCGTGTTTGGACCTACCCCAAACGGAATATGCTACAACAGAGATCAGATTATAAACAACCGGTTATATAACGATGATGAACGAGACCAGTGGACAAACTATTTGACCGACATACTCGTCTTAGCTTCAAACAACACCCTCCATGACCACCGGTCAGGCATCTAGCACCTCATTAGGTGACTCTTCTCATCTCAAAAAGGTAGACATAACCATATCAAAATAAAAGTAAAAAAACGAGATTTACACGATTCTACCACTCCATCACTCCAGAAGAATCTATCAATGCATCCATTCATTTCTTAAAATTTATTCAATTGTAACCAATCTAAAACCAGTCTTTGTACGAGAAAAATAGAATTGAAATCGCGTACAAAACAGAATTAGTCAAGGAACATGGGTACACAGAATAAACCGGCAATTGTTTTAGAGTTCCGTAATCAAATCATTTGTATGACGCAGTAATTAATTGGTTTGACTCAGGTGATTCCCAAACACGAAGTGAAACAAAACGGTGACCTAATTGAATTCGGTGCATAATAGAAAAATATTTTCAGTCACTTGTCATTATTTATCTAATTTTTACTATAGTCCTTTTGACAGCGGAAATTGGTCAAATTTGATTTTTCAACGCATCACACTAAAGACCGGTATGTCAGTTCTTTCTTGAGTTTAGTTTATGCAAACATAAGACACGCATAATAGTGCGATGGTTGTGGTGTCTTTTAGCGGGATAGGTAGATAAAGACGTGTAAAGTAGAATGGGAAGGGTAAAAGCAGTATCAAGCTGAAGGTAATGATTAAGGTAGGTAGACTAAAATTCCGAACCAATTCTATTGGTGCAAAAGCGCCACTGTTTGCAGCATCTCCATCATATCACTAAGTGTCTGTAACCATTAATTACACTGAGTATGAGATTCTCGACTAGGAACGCGATCTATACAACCAGTTTCCTGGTCAGTATTTCCATACTAATCATATGCCAGATCTTACTTAGAAGACCCTTTGCTTTCTTCTATTCACTAACTACTTCAGTAAAGAATCGCACTATATGAAAGCCTATCAGATGACATGAGAAATACTTGCATCAGCCTACGTGTGCGTGTATTTCACACATCTAAGTCCACAGCGTATGCCATCCGATGTAAGCTATAGAGGTGAAGCAAATACTCCAGTAAGCGAAAATGATTACCTAAAACGGTGCTTAACCTCCGTATTACTCATCCAATTGCTCCATCAGACTTGAGCAATGTGGCGTAGAGAGCAGTGTTTGAACAGCAATAGTTTCTTATTCTGTATCCCCGCAAAATACAACAGCACCCAAAAAATGTTGTGGCGCACACTTGATCCTTCAAGGACAACCGGATCTTGTGGTGTCTCAAATGAAAGGTACGCTTGTCGACACAGCCGTGATACGCCCAACACATGAGGTATCTGTTCAAGCAAAAACCTTTTCGTGGTTTTGTACTGCCTCCTCAGTTGAGGTGAGGCTGGGAGCCTAACCGACCATTATGTTGCAAAATTTTAAACTTTAAAGGTGCAAAAAGCATATCAAACACAACTACACTAACACTGAAATCATACAGAAGAGTATATACTTTATGTGGATCTACAGTTGAGAGTAAAATGTCGTCTAGGTACTTAAGATAAACTTACCACCTAAACGTTTACCAATGTCACCTTGCAGTAGAACGGCGCTGTTTTGAGAATCACTTCCATTACAAAGTTGAAAAACATAAGAGGGAAATTCTGACAAACATCACGTTACGTGGTGAACTTAGACGGGGTTCTCGTAAACTCATGCCAGATTTGATTCTAATCACTTCTGCCCACTGCCTAAATCAATCGCGTTGATTACCCAATACTATTTACCTAACCTCCGCATTGCCTTTTATTTGTTCCAGTAGACTCACGTGATATGGTGTAGACAGCAGAAAATATGACCACTGACGGTCTTTTTTCACGAAGACCACGTCTTTAAAGCATACAGAAGAACCAAAAAAACAGAGACAGCATACACGGGACGTTTAGCGATAAACCAACTATTATGAGGGCGAAAGAAAGCATTTCAAAACAATACTATCTTTTGAAAAGTTTCTATTGCAAATCTGATATCTTTTGTGAAGTAATGTTAAAACTAGTAAATTCCATGAACTTACGGACTACGCGCACAGAACTGGACAAATAAGAGTCTCCGTCAGAACTTTCAAGCTTTGCAGAAAGTTGAAAGTTTTGACCGTCTTCCATGTTATATAACAATATGTTCACCTCGCCTGAAGTTGGGTCTTCCTTTTTCATTTCAAAATCGAATTCCAGTTTTCTCAATATCGGGTCCAAGGCAATGTCGGATTTCAGTCGGTCTCGTAACGCGGCAGGTGAGTCAGCTTCGATTAGATTCACTCCTATCAACGATTTTGGTACTGAGCGAAACTTGATGGGACAGGATACATTGTAATCCGCTCCCTCCATGATATAAATCAATCCACTGAGACAACTGGGGGAAGAGAAAGCAGGAGGTTCAATAACTCGGAGGTTGTAAACAAAACGAAGCACCTCGTTCGGGTTTTCCGCAGAAGTAACAGTGAGGAGATATGTGCCCCCTACAGTCCACGTGGCGATGTCGGGAAGTTGATACGAATACTGCGTGCAAAACTTTTTCGGTAGTTGTTGACCATCTTTTGTCCAAACGGTTTTTACCCCCGTAGGCGGTTCACGATACAGCGCTTTCAACTTAAACCCTACTGTGTTACTACCAGCTTGCAAAGTAAATGACTGATCAGTTGATGTGAGTGCTTCGAGCTTGGCCGGCTGACCGGAAGGACCGGGAAGTACAGAGAGAGGAGCTGTGATTTCTTGATTGCGGGCTTCCGAGTGGTCCCTGGCAAATGTCCGTATAGGTTGTTGTTTTCGTTTAGACTTGCAAACAATGGCAATTTTCTTAGATTCGATGAGTCTTTCATTCAACAAATACATAGTTCCATTCAAAAACTTCAAATGATCACCCTCTGGTAACACAGAACTCTGATCAGCGCAAATCTGCGCATTTGGCGCACCAGTCACATCACAATAAAACCAATCGTAAGGCCAGTATGAGCTGCTCAAAAGATTCAACCATTCTGGCCACGTGCTCATAGAAGGATCGGTATCAAAACATTGGAACGAGAAGGGAAAATCCGCCGGGTCGATAGGGGGAACTTTTATTATGTCCAACTTTCCAGGTATATTGAGCTTTTCCATGTAGTAAATTGCATCACGAATCTCAATTTCATTTGACTGGATTGCTGTGCCAGAGTGATCTGTGACGGAGCAATGAAACACCCCACCCATTGGATTGAGAGAGGGTGCAGCTGCTACTTCCTGTCCTTCAACCTCAATGACGAAAGAAACTCCTTGCAAAGAATCGACGGTATATTTGAACTCTGTCTGCATGCACATAATGGAGCCAGGTCCAGAGAGGTCTACCCGACGGCAAGAAACATCTGAAGCGGTAGAGCTGGATCGGCAACACAAATACACCGACTTCAAAGGCTGAACTTGTTTGTTCACATGACAATTGAAAGTAAGCCGTACGTATAATAAAGGCTTTTTTTCAGCAAAATAAACTACTCGTGGTCCGGTGGCCGTTGCATCAAATACAACTTCCGACCTAAGGTTGGTGATGTAAACAATCGAATCCTTGCTAGCTCCTTTCACATCGACAAAAGTCAAGAGGTCTATGCAGTGACCTATAAAGTAAACGTTGTATGAACGAAATCATTATAAAGTAACTTACATAGTGCTATGCNNNNAGACAAAACACCGCACGACTCGCCAGCGCAACATCCCTTGACGGACTACAAACACCGCGGTCGAGTCAGGGTCGACCATGACAGTTAGCTTAAACAACAGTTCAGTCAGTCAGTCAGTTTGCACAGGACAAGAGATGGCCAAGGCCAATCGAGCGTCCAGATTTCCTCCGGCAGTGAGACCCATTCCGGCCCCTACCACTGCGAGTGTTCTATATTGCAGTTCTACACGTTTTCTTCACGTCTCAGGACAGGACAGGACAGATCACAGGACTTGCGGCGGAGCCAGAAGCAGTCCAGTTT